TTCATGGAACTACTGATAAACTGAAGGTATAAATACAGAAACATTTTATACGCAAAACCTTGGCGTCCAGGTTTGAAGTGTGCCTTATACACCAGAAAACAGGGTAGAGACAGCAAAATAGGATAGCAGAAGTTACTGGGCGGACACGTAGGCGGACATTTTTTGATTGCAGAGATTCCGCGATTTTGGAAAAAATATACATATAGGTTCGAAAATTCGCGATTTCGAGAAAAGGTCGGGGAATTGGGAATCGAATCGGCTTCACTTCGCATATTAGGAACCACATGTCCTCCGATGTCGCGTATTCGATACGTGACAGTAGGACCACGCGGTGTCGCGCGCGACAATAACAAATACCGCATGGTTACGATCGGCGCTCGCTCGCGATGGTTTTATTTTCACAAACCAAATAAAACAGAAAAAATAAAACGACGCAACAAGCGTGCGCTCCATCGCAAGCCGCGGTGTCTGCAGACTGCCGCGGACGCGACGCCGCGTGGTCATAAAGACCCTCTCGCCAGATAGGAACCTCAGAGTTCTTTTGCGCGGTGAACTGTCACATTCGCTTGAATTCAGCCAACGTCCCATAACAATTTTGGCGGATATCTTCAACTTCGCCCGTTAGCAAGCACGCGAGATTACGCGCAACGGCAGATTCAATCGATTACGTAGATGCATTCAAAATATAGCGGACTAAAGAAACTATCGCCAAAACATTTGAGCACTTACATTAAAATCAATTGGACGATCCCAATACAGAGGCCATTCTCTGTGTTTATGTAAGATTCTGCTTTCTTTTGCTATAGATTTGACCGGGATCTAAAGCAATGAAATCCGCATCTGCACCAGCACCATCGTCATCCAATACTTCATCAAACTCCTGAATATCTTTATTCATAGGATATCAGTATGAATTGTGGAAGAAGAACGCTTACATTATCTCCTCTAAGCAAAAACTCAGCCGGAACAGCCTCTTCGCCTTTCTCGGAACTATCAGCATCTATCAGAGGCGTTTGGGCAGCCTAAATAGAGTCTTCATTCAAATCAGCGTTCAATAACCAATGCATCACAACAGGAAAAAGCGCATGAAGCGAAATACGAGTTTTACCTTCCGTACAGCCACTTCTCCATACATTTTGAAGAGAGATTTCATCCCGGGTATTGGCTGAGAACTGGATGATGAAGTTGGGATATCACCTGGATCTAAACCTTTGACTTATCAGTAAAGCTAAGTCGTGTGTGCTCGAAAAACTAGGTCCATAGCCAGTTATACAAATAGGGACTCATAGAGCAAAGGTTCAAATAAAGCGGGTGTAATAGGTAAATATGGAGGATAAAGAAGAGTGGACTGCTACCAGTCACTGTACCAGTTACTGCGCGTCACAAATCTTACTGGTCTTGAACATTGCGCTGCTCTGCTGCAGCGCTCCTATCGCTTTTTCCGGCTAACTTTGGTTCCGGGTCTCCCCAGATATGAACGTAAAAGTTTTGGCTAAAACGCATGCGCTACTGGTACAAACACCCAAATAAGGCTGTTTCGTAGCACCATCTGTGGAAGCAGAGCATTTCTGCGGAAAAATGGCGCAATATTCACGCTCTGGGACTCGTGTTAACTCTGGCGACAAGTTCCGAGCCACATATGCACCTATTAAGGAATGTCGATGACAACTCGGTTTAAGTCTCGGAGGAAGGGATCGTAAGGGCAGGTAGGGCCATCCTCACGGAAAAAGTATGCCACTAAAAACTCTCGTACCTCCCCACTGCATAGAACTGTTGTCACGATCTTGCATGGATGGTCCAGCTCCAACGAATAACTGCGGACGGCTTTTGAGGGAGTCGTTAGTCATAAGCACCTAGAATATCAATACTTTACGTAGATCAGTTAACAGGGATGACCAAAAATCGAACATTAGCTGGTGCAAACGATTTGAATTGGTGCGGTTTTTCATCCTCCCATTCAGCGACGTCGCTCTGTTCCACCTAAAAAAATATTGCTACTAAGCTCTATTACATCGAGATAGAGCAGTTGATGTTTTTCATAAAAACATCATGCGTTTCAGGTTTCTGAGATTTCCACTCCGCGCCTGAAGGAGCGGCAAATTACGACTGTCTTGACCGTCTAGCTTCAAAGCTAAGAACACGGCCTAACACAGCGAATTTGATTACGCTCAGAAAACTGAGGGGCTCTTCTTACCAGACCGAACCGAAGGCATTTTGGAATGCTGTGAGGTCGATTTAACCAAAGCTTAACTAAAAAGATGAGCTAATCCACCTTTTTGTGCTGTTCTGTTTATAATTAGGAGAAGCATCTTGCACTTTCGCTAGCTTGTTCCTCTTGAACTACACGTCTCACCTTGGTGAGACTTGTAGACTTTGCCAAGTGTAAACAAAGCTCCTGCTATTGCATAGCTTTACAGGAATTTACAGGTCTCCACAGGAGGCATCGGCAGTGATCGATGGGAACCAGCAAAATGCCCCCCCCCATCAAGCCGAACTGTGCCCGTCTTTGCCCCATCAGTTCAATATTTCTCTCTGTTCGATTTTTCAACTTGGTCAATGATTTTTTGCGCACTCAAAATATTTTAAAAGCAGCGCTCTATTGACTACTGTGGAGCTAACTATTCAATTCACTTCAAATTTCATTACTACAACTATTGACCCCTTATTCTGTTAATCAAGTAAGGCAATAAAAACATACCTCCACTTCGTCTGCAACATCATCTATGTCAGCCAAGGAGTCGTAGGAGTCGCACTGATCCAAATGTGCGGAGTCTCTTTTACGAAAGCTTCCATTCAAGCCTGAATGCTTTTTATTTATAACACACTAAACTACGATAAACACTGAGACGGAATAAAGCGTAAAAATTCTAA